CCCTACTAAACCCTAAACTCTGGGCCCTAGAGACGGTGGCACCACGAGCTCTGCATGGCCAAGTGCTCAAATCTTGGCAGGCCTCGACGTCTTCGGGCTCCGAGGATCCTGCCTCAGCCCCAAGCACCCTCAACCCTAAGCCCCAAACCCTAAACCCTAAACCCCAAACCCTAAACCCTAAACCCTAAACCCTAACCCTAAACCGCCTCTGATAGGCTGTAAACCACTGAACTTCGAATCACACTGTTCGGCCGCCCTGTGGGGGAAAAAAGGAGCTGCTGCGGCTTTAGGGTTTAGGGTTTAGGGTTTAGGGTTTAGGCTTTAGGCTTGCTGTTGAGGCCAGCCTTGATGCCCTGCCGCTGCGCAGCTGGCGTTGCCTCTTTGTCCGAAGGATTCCAAACGGGTTGAGAATTTTAGGGTTTAGGGTTTAGGGTTTAGGGCACGTAGCGGTTTCATAAGGGTTTAGGGTTTAGGGTTTAGGGCAAGTAGCCGTTTCATAATAAGCTCTTCAGGTGCCTTGCTGACATGACATGGCCGCAAGTCAAGGCAAGACTGCTGCGGCAGAAGGGGGACATAGGCCTCCCCGGGTCTGCTGAGCGGGCGCCGCTCAGAGGACCTCGGCACTTGGGGTTTAGGGTTTAGGGTTTAGGGTTTAGGGCTACTCTGAAAGGCCTTCGGCTCAGAACTCTCAGATGTACTCAGCGCAGCCTCCTCCCACCTGCTCCGCTTTGTGAGATCCGAGCCCTGGTGTCTTGGTGGTGGAAGAAATAGAGGTCCCAGCCTCCCAAAGACTTTCTAGGGTTTAGGGTTTAGGGTTTCAATCACGACATGCAGCGGCGAGGAGAGACGGAGGTTTCCTGCTAGCACCTGCGCTCATTGTGTGTGCGTGTGCGGGTGTGTGTGCGTGGTGGCTGGGTGGCTGGGTGGCTGGGTGGCTGGGTGTTGTGTGCGCCGTAGCTTTATCGGGTTTCGGCGTGTAGTGTTGTGTGTTGGAGAACGAGGTTGGGGGGCGGGAGGAGGGTGAGGGGGGAGGGGCGAGGAAAACTTATGGACGCACCCAGGACATACATGGAACAGTACCCCCAGCAACACGAAAACTATGACCTAATTATGTGTCCTTAGAGCTTCCCTTACTCTCCTGAGAGAGAGGCCCTAAGAATTCATAACCCCTACTATACTGAACTTGGAACTCCTAGCAAAAATAATAATTTTTGCTGTTTCTGAGGAATTAAAGTACCCCAACATTAAAGAATATTTCCAAGTACCCCTAAGCCTAACCGTGAACCGCAAACCCTACGCCTTAAGGGTTCCGTGGGTCATACAAGACACCATGATCAACCATACCCTTAAGCTGAACCCGAGTGGAGACTCAAGCTGCAGCATACTTGGGGGTTAGGGTTTTGGGTTTAGGGTCTAGGGTTTAGGGTTTAGGGTCAAGGTTTAGGGTTTGGCCTCCTTCTTTGGCTTCGTTGTCCCACGCGCGCGGTTTTCCTGCGCCGGAGCATTTATCACCCTGAATCAGAAACCCTAAACCCTAAACCCTGAACCCTAAACCCTAAACCCTAAACCCTGAACCCTAAACCTGCTTTCCAGAATGCACACAGCCCGGGCTTATATGGCCTACAGGCAGCCTTGGAGACCGAACCAGGTCCGAAACCTTGTGTGGGTAGTTCTCTGAAATATTTCTGAATCCCATATGTTGCTCTAAACCCTAAACCCTAAACCCTAAGCCCTAAGCCCTAAACCCTAAACCCTAAACCCACGTTGGAGAACCACACATGTCGTTTCTTCGTACATCACAGATCCTCTCCTTGCCCGACACGGCCTGCCAGACCCTGGGATGGAGCCGCTTGGCCTGCTCGCAAGCACTTAGGGTTTAGGGTTTGGGGTTTAGGGTTTAGGGTTTAGGCGGCTAGGGGGCCTGATGATAACTTCTCCTCCACGGCTTGGTCTCAGTACCGGAGAGAGGAAATGACACGATTAAAACATGCAGGGCCCTGGATCACCAAGATCAACATGCTTTCCGAAACGGCGGAAAATAAAAACCTTCATCTCATGCCCTGGATCCCTGGTAACCACTTGTCGCTTCAGTCGGGGAGTTTCATACTGCAGCGCCCTCGTCCCCTTTTGGCTCCTCGAAAAAAGAAGACATGGTCTACAAACCATGCGTGCAGGTGAGACATCCTGCCCTAAACCCTAAACCCTAAACCCTCAACTTCCTTAAGTGAGATCATAGGGGGGGAGTGAGGGGGGGGTTCTTGAGATTTTCGACTGCCGTCGAAACACACTCCAATAAGACCTCTAAACCCTAACCACCCGCCCCCTAGTCGTGGGAACCTTTGACCCCAATCCCTATACCCTAAACCCTAAATCCCAAACCCTAAACCCCAAACCCTAAACCCCAAACCTTGCCTGGGAGATGAGCATCCGCAGCTCCGCATGGCGGCCGTAAGCTGCGGCGTAGTGCAGCGGCGTCCATCCATTGGCATCGGTGATGCACGGATCCTCGGGCTTAGGGTTCAGGGTTCAGGGTTTAGGGTTTAGGGTTTAGGGCTCAAAGAACCGATGTTCAGGCCACGTTTGGCGCTGAAGGCTCAAGGGTAGAACCGGACCCAACGAACCAAAACGGAAAGCTGAAAAATGCCTAAGCAGACAACGCACACACACACACACACAGACAGCTTAGTTGTCCAGTAACCTGGGGGAACTAAAGGTTAACCTTCAGGGTCATAAAGGGATTCTATTACCCAGAAAAGGCTAAGGTTGCCCACTCTACTACTAGGACAGACAGACAGGTAGGGAGAGAGAGAGAGAGAGCTGTGTATATATATATATATATATATATATATGCTCCCCAATCTCTTCCTGAGGGCCTGTCTGTATAGGCCTCCAGACTTTTTGTTTTTAAGCTTTTTAGGGATACTGCAGCATTTTCGGCTTCTGGGATTAGTTTTTGGGAGAGCACAGCACTCTCAACCGCTCAGGCCTTCAACACCGTTATGTTTGTATGTTGGAGTTTGCAACTCATGTAAACATATATAGAATGAGGTGAAGTGCTGCGCGAAAATGGAAAATGTTGCTAGAGAGTCTGGGAAATGCTGCAAATATCCATGTTTTGAGCATGCTTGCAAAAAGCATGAAGACTTGTGACAGCACATCTTGTTGCAGAAACGTTCACCCTTGTGCGCTGTTGTACAAAGAGGCAAGGCGGCGCAAATACCAGTGCTTTGAGCTCCTTCGCAAAAGGAAGGTCGCCATATGAGGGATGGTATTATCCACCCATCCTAAACCGTAAACCCTAAACCCTAAACCCTAAAAACCAGTTCAAGGTTGAACATCGCTAGAAACGCGGGTGGGCGAGGCTCGCAGTTCAACTACGACCATGCCTCCATACGTGCCTGGGGGGTGAAGATGCAACTTAAGGCGCTTCTCACAAGAGTCATGACTGGACTACATGTCAGCATGAAGAGCTTCGTTTCACTGCAAAACCTCAACGGTAACTTGTCTCAAAGCCATAAACTTCGCGCTCCTCTCGAAAACAATGCTAGCACTACCTACTGCTACTTTCATAAGGATAGTACTACCAAGCTATACCAGAATCGTCATAGCGCCTAGAAAATACCAGCATTGATTCTGTAATCGATTCTCCACCCTGTACGCAACTCCCAACTTGGTATTGCCACTCCTGGTCACCTGTTGAACCGTAGCATGTCATTGCTGTTTAGGGTTTAGGGTTTAGGCACTTCCCTTGCCTTTAAGCCCCTCAACCCTGAAGCCCTAGCCCCGTAAAGCCGAAGTGTACTGCAGCTGGTGGGCTTGTGTCTCCTAAAACCCTAAACCCTAAACCCTTTGAGGTCTTTCAAGACCAGGCTGGGGTCCACACGCATTCCGGGTACTCCTGCGCTTAAAGAGTCAAAAAGTGCAGGCCGGCGATTAGGGTTTAGGGTTTAGGGTTTAGGGTTTAGGGTTTGCACAACAAGTGAACCTGGGGCTTGGGGCAATTAGGGGGTTAGGGACGCACATAGCCAAACACACAAGTATTGACGCCGTTATGTGGGATGACCGCAAAGCAAGCGCAAACCAAGTTTCTTGAGAGGGAAGTGCTTCAAAGCATTGTGTTGCATCAACTTCTCCGATTTGTGCCCCATGTAGGGCTTGTGATTAGGGGTTCAGGGTTTTCGGCCAGGCAAAGTCCCGCGGTTCAGGGAGGGTTTAGGGTTAGGGATGTTTAGGGTTTAGCTAGTTCGGGTTTAGGGTAAACCCTAAACCGTAAATCCGAAACCTGCAGCAACTTGCTCTGGCCGCTCCCCATTTCCTTCAGCAAATGCTCTACCAGAGAGCTCTTGGAGCTCTGAGCGCTCGCAATTGCGCCTGCCAACTTGGGGCGGCTTTAGGGTTTAGGGTTTGGGGTTTGGGGTTAGGGTTTAGGGGGGAAGTGGGTTCATGGGGTAGGTACCTAGGGAACATTAGGGAAGCTTAGGGAGCCTTAGTGAGTAGCGGGGGGGTACGAAAGAACCTTGGGTTACACACCCCCTTTGAACCCTCACTTAAGAACAAATATTGCAAACTATTGCAAACTTGAGAGCTCTGGAAGCATAGGGGTTCAGGGTGTATATAGGGTCCTGGGTCTAGGGTATGATAGGTTCACCAAGATGAGATTAAGGGCACAAAATAAACACAGATACACTGATGTCGTCAGGTCGAAGTATGAGTCGCGTTTCTATACAAAATTTCAGAATAGAGGGAAAGATCAGAAAAATCGGTGCGGTACACGGAACAGGTGAGTTTATTTCGACGGTATTTACGATACACACGGTTGTCCACATATATATATATACATGTATATATGTACATTTGTACATACATATATACACACATATACATACATACAGAAAGCCGTGCGTGTGGTCCCAGTTGCACACCCGCACCCCCCCCACCCCCCCTCCCCCGAGCCTATCAGCACAACGTGAAGCGGACGCCGCGCAAGAAGACCACGTGCCCTGGGTTTAGGGTTGGGCGCTCGAGAGGCACTAGAGTTGGACGTCACATGTCTGGCCCAGATGCAGGACTTCCAGCTTCACGGCCCATGAGCAGCGTCCGAAACCCTGAATCTTAAGCCCCCCAGCCATGGTTCTCCCCTAAACCCTAAACCCTAAACCCTAAACCCTAAACCCTAAACCCTAAGCCCTCTTTTCTGAGCCTTAAAAATAGTGAGCGGTCTTTACACCGCTGGGTCGTGCCATCTTCGATGCAGGATTCCCCAGCCTTGTGCAGAACGGATGATTTATCGTGCACGACGCGCTTGTAAGCGCGATAGAGTGGGCAAACGAGGGCTTCAGGCTTCAGGAGTTCAGCATGCAGGGTTTCGTAGGCTGTTGGGTTTGTCCTGGGTGCGCATGTACCGCAGCGCCCCACTTGCCGCGAAAGCTCGGGCCGTAAATTGCCTGAAGTACCCTCTTCTTCAGCTCGCGTGAAACGCTAGAAAAAACATCTTAAGTTGTTTTAAAAAGGTAGCTTGCAAGACCGTCCCTAGCGCCTCAACAGCATCCAGCACTTCTGCTGCCCGGCGCTTGGGGATATTCTGTGGAAGCAGACGCGCACAGACCCCGGTCGCTTTTCTGACTGTAGTATAATCATAATACTATAAAGTAGTTTGCATACTGGCTATAGAAAGATTACGCATTGAGGGTATAACAAAAAGTTGGCAATCATTTTTGCCTTCAGGCCCGTTGTATGACAGCGATCACGCTTCTCAGCTTCGCGGATGCTTCGCAGAAAAGAGTGCAGCCACGCCAAGATGCGCGGCTGTGAAAACTCATCGGCAGCTCAATAGACGGTTTACAGCTTCAATGGCCGAACAGGATGTACTGGACTACTCTGATGGCAGCCGCCCCCGAACCTGCTTTGGTCGGCCTGCCCGAGCATCACTCTCTCTAGTCACAGCTTCCAGGTCCTTCAATCCCATGCGCAGGTGGTACCTTCAGAACCAAAAAGCCTACCCTTCTTTTGTGGGTTCACCTGCAAGCAAGTAGGTTTGGGTTCCTTAAGGGGTTAGCCATTATGCCAAGGTCTGCATCCAATTCTCTTAGCAACCTTGCTGGACGGGGTGCCTCTGTTTGGGTGCAAGGAACTGCAGAAACAAAACGGAGCAGTCAAGCCATCTCCTTCTCGTGATCCTGAGATGCGCAGACTCACGACTCTTCTGAAGAACTTCAACCCGAAATCGCCTCCTCGTAGGCTATGGTCCCAACAAAGCCCGCCACAAACCCTAAACCCGTAGTGAAGCCACTTATGGGACACTAGACTGTGAATTTTCCAAAAAAATGGATGGCCGAAGGTGGCAAGGCGCAACCGGCAACGTCGCCCGCGACCTGCAGGTGCAGAGAAAGAGCGTAAGAGAGGGAGAGAGAGCGAGAGAGGGAGAGAGGGAGAGAGAGGGAGAGAGAGGGAGAGAGAGGGAGAGAGGGAGAGAGGGAGAGAGGGAGAGAAGGAGAGAACGAGAGAACGAGAGAAAGAGAGAAAGAGAGAAAGAGAGAAAGAGAGAAAGAGAGAAAGAGAGAAAGAGAGAAAGAGAGAAAGAGAGAAAGAGAGAAAGAGAGAAAGAGAGAAAGAGAGAGAGAAAGAGAGAAAGAGAGAAAGAGAGAAAGAGAGAAAGAGAGAAAGAGAGAAAGAGAGAAAGAGAGAAAGAGAGAAAGAGAGAAAGAGAGAAAAGAGAAAGAGAGAAAGAGAGAAAGAGAGAAAGAGAGAAAGAGAGAAAGAGAGAAAGAGAGAAAGAGAGAAAGAGAGAAAGAGAGAAAGAGAGAAAGAGAGAAAGAGACCCCTCCAAAAGGTTTAGGCCTTGGACCCTATACAAATTAAAGGGCCCACACATCAGAGCCCTTCAAAGGAGGTAAGGAACCATAGTAAGGGCCCATGTAGCTACCCTTTAAGAGACGCACCCGAAAGCAAAAGCCCTAAGGCGCGCAGTTTGGAAGCGATTGAAGTTTGATAAAGCCAGCAGCCCCCCCAAAAAATGATGGATCATCATCCCTATATTGCCCTGACAAAGAAAGTGCTTCTTGTGGGAGCGGGTTCTTAAGCAAATCGTAGTTCACTGTTGAGGGTTTAGGGAGAAAAAAACCCTAAACCCTAACCCCCAAAACCCTAAACCTAAACCCTAAACCCTAAACCCTAAACCCTCAACCCTAAACGCTAAACCCTTTCTGCCCTGCCTCGGGCTTGCAGCCGCAGTGCTTCAAGGAGAAGAAGTATGAGAAGAAACCTGACACATCTGATACTTCGGATGGCTTAGGGTTTAGGGTTTAGGGTTTAGGGTTTAGGGCTTAGGGTTTAGGGTTTAGGGTTTAGGGTTTAGGGGTTCCCCCCAATACTAACCAGCCGTTAATAGGGACTAGATAGTACCCCCCGTATGATAATCCCGATTAAGGACTGCTAGTATAAGGGGGAACATCCCAAGTTTCTGGGGCTTTCAGGTTCCAGATTTTTTGCGGGTTTGGGGTCTGGGGTTTAAGGTCTATAGGACCCTAGACCCTAGACCCTAAACCCTAAACCCTAAACCCTAAACCCAAGTTTATTAGGGCTCTGCTTCAGACTAGGGCTGCCCTCGGAGCCCCAAGTTTTCAAGCAAGTCGCGAACCTTTGAACCCTAAACCCTAAACCCTAAACCCTAAAAACCCTAAGCCCGTAAAACCCACGACAACGAGCAACCCTAAGGCCCTTAAAACCCTGAACCCAAAAGACGCAAACACCTCTAAACACCTAAAAACCCAAAAACAACAATAACAAATTTATAAATACATAATAATAATATTATTATTATTATTATAAAAACACAAAGTCTCTAAAAGCTCTAAAACACCTTAAAACCCTAACAACTCAAAATGCCCTAAAGAAACCTAAAAGCCCCAAAGCACCCACAAAAGGCACCCAGGACAACAAGCAACCCTAAACCCTAAACCCTAAACCCTAAACCCTAAACCCTAAACCCTAAGCCTAAACCCTAAACCCTAAACCCTGAACCCTAAACCCTAAACCCTGAACCCTCAACTCCATGCACCCGCCCACCTGGCTGTGGAGCTGGTCTTGGGGGCGCCGTCGAAGAGATCAGGTCAATTGAAATCACCTGTGACTTGGCGGCCTCCGCACATGCTTTGCGATTGAGGGCTTAGGGCTTAGGGTTTAGGGTTTAGTGGGTTTAGATGGTTCAGAGGGTTTGGAGTTTAGGGGGTTTAGGGGGTTTAGAGGGTTTGGAGGGTTTAGAGGGTTTGGGGTTTAGAGGGCTTACAGGGTTTAGAGCGTTTTTAGGGTTTACAGGGTTTAGTGGTTTTTTTTAGCGTTTGGAGGGTTCAGAGGGTTTTTTGGGTTTACAGGGTTTAGAGGGTTGAGGGGGTTTACAGGGTTTACAGGGTTTAGAGGGCTTACGGGGTTTAGAGGGTTTAGAGGGTTTAGAGGCTTTAGAGGGTATAGGGTGTAGGGCTTAGAGGGTTTAGAGGGTTTGTAGGGTTCATAGGGTTCACAGGGTTTAGAGGGTTTACAGGGTTTGCAGGGTTTATAGGGTTTACAGGGGTTATAGGGTTTTTAGGGTTTCTACGGTTCTACGGGTAATAGGGTTTATAGGGTTTAGGGGTTCGAGATTTGCGGTGGATGTCTTCTTGAAATAATAACAACAGGTTGCAATTGCCTGGGCTATGAGTGCCCTGAACCTGCAAGGGGGTTTAGGCAGAGCTGGTGCTTGGGACATGCTGGCAGCTGCGATATCAGAACATTTGCCCCTAAACTCTAAAACTTCCCCAACCCTAAACACTAAACCCAGATCCCGAAACTCAAACACTTCCCTAAACCCTAAACCCCAAACCCGAAAGCCCAGAACCCTAATCATTCAGACCCCTTGTGGTTTCGCGCTAAACCCTAAACCCTAAAACCCTCAACCTGCCTTGATCCTGGCACGGGGGACTTCCCCGACGTCTGCTGGCACTGGTGCATGTGGCACTGGTGCATCAAGTTCCCTCGCAGACCGCGCCGAGGTGAGCACGGCCAAGCCCTCATTCTTCGCCTGGCGCACCCTAAACCCTAAACCCTAAACCCTAAACCCTAAACCCTAAAGCCTAAACCCTAAACCCTAACCTCAAATTGTAGCCCCTTCTTTGCAGGTACATAACTTATAGGGTTTACGATATTAGGGGTACCTTATTGGGGCTCTTCGAAGGCGATCCTACTTTTGGGGGGTTGTTAGGGGTCCCATTTTTTCCTAAACCCCCATGGGTCTCTGTCCCGGGATCCCATTCATAGACAATCGATTGCAAAGTTCACGGTGACAAGGCTAACACACCCTCTGGGCCCATGACAGGCGCAAGAACATGTTTACTGTTCTCGTGGCTCCAGTGAATTTGCAACTTAAAACAACCTAAACCCTAAACCCAAATACCCCTAAACCCTAAACCCTAAACCCTAAACCCTAAACCCTAAACCCTAAACCCCAAAAACCAAAAACCAAAACCCCCCTTTATGGGCTTAAAGGAGCTTGGGGAGCTGGAGCCCGCATTGGCAAGACCGGGCTTGAGGCAAAGGGTTCGGGGATTTAGCGTTTCAGGGTTTAGGGTTTAGGGTTTAGGGTTTAGGGTTTAGGGTTTAGGGCTCAGGGTTTTTGGGGTTTGTAGAGTTTAGGGCTTTGGGATTTCGGGTTTGAGGTTTTGGTGGTTTGGAGCCTACCTGTTGAGTTCGGAGTCCCTTTGACCCCTGCACCTCTGGATTCAAGAGGTCTTCCAAGTCCGTGTCGAGGCCTTGGCGATGCAGCACATGGCCGAAATCGCGCCGCCTGACACCTGTCTGCCTTGACACTCCCAAAACCCTAAACCCTAAACCCTAAACCCTAAACCCTAAACCCAGAACAGGTTGCAGCAGCTAAGTTCGACACAAAGTATGTCGTCATCCTGCAGGCCAGTTGCTGTTCTGCTTAGGGAAGGTTTCGGGTTTCAGGGCTTGGGATGATCGCATTCTCGCG